TATGTGTGTGTGTGTGTGTGTGTGTTGCAGCTGGCGAGGACCATCGATCAGGTGGAAACCAGTTGGGCTCTGGGAGCAACTTTTCATTACATCGAGTCCCTGAAGACACACTGAAGCTTTTATTGTGAAAAAAACCCTGAACACCCCCCCCCCCAACCTGACATTACGTCTGTACAGTATGACATCACGCGTGACCGTCCAATCAGACGCACTGAAGGACGAGTTGTGTTCGAGTCTTCTGATAAAAGTCAGTTTGTCCTTGTGAACAAAGTGACCTCACAGAAACCAGAAACACTCGGAGGCAGCGGTGGGAACTTACTACTCACATGTACTCAAGTACTGCACACGTTTGAGGTACTTTACTGCGTATTTGTATCTGTTCTTGTACATGAAGTTGTTTTTTAATCAGCTCTACTTTGACAGTGAAAGGCTGTTCACAGTAATCAGTAATAGTACAGTTAGTAGTACACTTTGATGCTGATACTTTAGAATGCATTACTTGTAATGTAGTACTAGTACTCCTCCTTGAGTACTTCCTCCACCGCTGCTCACAGATATAATGATGTACAATAAGCTTTCTGGATTACTTGTTCTTATATTGAATGTTTGAAACTCACCTTTGTGCCAAAAATATGAAGTTCTTTGTTTTTCTGATTTGTATGAATAAATACATTTATGAATTATTAAATGTTATTTAAAACATTTCACGTTTACATTTTACTCGTTAACTACAGTAAAATAACTCCTGTGAGACCAGTAGGACTCCAGTGAGACCAGTAGGCCACCAGAAGGACACCAGAGGGACTCCGGTAGGTCTCTGGTCTCAGGAGGACTAATGTTCCGATGGTTGTCCCTGAAGGACTTCCTGTCTTTAGATGACCCTGAACAGATGTGAATGTTTCTGAGCTGAAGACTCTGATTGGCTTAAAGTCTGCAGTCGAGAACCAATCAGAAGATCAGCAGTCAGATAATTATACTTTGTTTGAATAAGTACTTTTGCGTTTGGTACTTGTGTACTTTTACTTCAGTAAGAGTTGCAGGACTTTAACTTATAAGTATTTGTACACTAGTATTAGTACTTTTACTGATCTGTAACAGAGGGGCGCTGACACCCGTTATACTCAGACAAGTAGTACTTCTGGTACTTCATCAGACCCTAGTGGACCCAGCAGACCCCCATACGACCCATCAGACCCCAGGTGACCCATTAGATCAGTGGTTCTCAGCTGGTCTGGCTGATGGACCCACCATCCCCCCTTCATGACAAGCAGCGACCCAAATATTCAACTTCTCAAAGTTCTTTAATGTAAAGATGGTTCAGTCTGAACATGAGGTGAACCTGTCTAGTCGTAGTGTAGGAGCTCTCTAGTGCAGAGACATTGTTCCTGTCTGTCCCCGTCCCACATGTTCCACGTAAACCAGTAAAGCTGCTTTGTTTACGTCTGTAGATTGGTACATTTGTAATGCAGAAGGACCTCTTGCCTTAATTGGAGCTGTGGTCTATTTGATGTCCTCCGACATGTCTTCAGTTCGTCTCCTCAGTGTCATTAGACAGATAGTCTTCAGTTCGTCCTCTGCTGATTGATCAACACGTCCATGTCTGCAGGTGAGTGAGACACGTGTGTGACGTCCTCAGGTCTTGAAGTCGTCATTGAAGGAACTCAGCAGGTTTATCAGAACGTCGCTGCACAAACCTCAACGTAATAAAATCTGATCTCATGCAGTCGGTGTCGAACTCAGTTAGCATGAAAACAAACGGTGTGTGTTCTTCTGTGTGTGAAGTAGCCGGTGTCTATGAGCATTACGAGGCATTAACGCCAAATACTGTTAGGGAGTGAGAATAACTCCGCTGCATAAAAAACCCTCTTCAAAATAAAAGCATAGGATTGTTTTAGTCAAAGGCCCGCGACCCACTGAAAACCAGTTGAGAATCACTGCATTAGACCCTAGTGGACCCTTACAGAACCCTATTAGACCCTTGTGGACCAGTAAAGTCTACCTTAGGCGTTGTTCCTAGGTCCAGGTCCCTTCTGGTTTCCCACATTCTTCAGGGACCATGAACACACCACCACTGTTCAGACACAAAGCTTTTATTCATGTAAACAAACTCCTGTGAAGTCTCAGCTTCAAACCCAACAACAAAGAACAGGAAGAGGAGGAGTCTCCTGTGAGGAGGCGGAGCCTCAGAGGAAGGCGTCACACCACTCCCTCAGACACTGAGTACAGACTCCAGCCTGACGGGAGTTCGCTCCGCTGGCGTCTTTCAGCCACTCGGTGAACATCTCCGGGTCTTTCTTCAGGAGCAGGAACTGACCCAGAACCACGTAGGCCTGAGAACCACAGGAGAACACGGTAAACACACGGAAGGAAACACGGTAAACACACGGAAGGAAACACGGTAAACTACACAGGAGAACACGGAGAATACACAATTAAACAGTTAAAACATTTTTTAAAAAAGTAATACAAAAATAAATAAAACAGATTAATCAACAATAAAAATAATAGTTGATTAATGAACGCGGCTGATGTAAGAGACGATTTTAAACTTCACGATGGATGAAAATACTTTTGTTTATTTGAGACTTTAGAAACGTACAGACAGATGACGTTAGCTGGTGTCGTGAGATCACAGTTTAATGTGTAATTAATGTGTACCGTGAGGAATTTAAGTTTAAAAGCAACCCTAGTGGTGGATATTATATTAAACCATGAAAGCATAATCATTGAATGTATGAAACTAAAAAGAACAGTCACTGAATGTTTTGAACCATGAAGGAAGGTGAGGGATTCTGAGCGAGGCTTTGCAGGGACGACCATATATGGTAATAGACGAGCCAGCAGAGACACCGGCAACAGGAAGGAAGCAGGAAGCAGGAAGCGATCAAGGAACGGAGGCTGCTGCAGCGGGGACGGCCCGACGCTGGCTGGAGAGGAGCGATCGACCGGGCCAACGGGTCAAAGGCCAGGAGGGGCTTATCGGATGTCAGCCAATCACTGAGCTGATACGGGACATCTCAGAGACATCTTCAGATCCTCTCCGGCCCGGACTGGACCTCAATGTCATGAAATGTTCTGTTATTAATGGCGTGATTCAGTTTGCAACTGTTTTCACTTTTTTAAAGTAATTAAATGCCGGTTCATTGGAACTGAACCTAACGTGTACTTCATGTGTTTAACGTGTACTTCATGTGTACTTGTACCTGGTGGATCACCTGTAGTCTAACGTGTACTTC